ATGACCCTGGGCTGAAGAATGACATCAGGAACAAGCCAGTGCAGCTCCCACTGGCCAACTCAGGATGGCTCTTCAAGGAGGAGGCGACAGAGCAGGAGGACACTCAGCCATGGCTTCCTGGAGCAAAGGAGGACACGATGGAGCTGGACCCACCAGCAGTGAAAGGTGGGCTGGGATGGGGGGACGCAGTGGGGACGGGCTGGGGGGGTGTCTCCCTCCCCATGCCCACCCCTCATCTCTGCAGTGAAGGAGGAGCCGAGCGATGAGGACCCCAAGCTGGGCCAGCCCAGGGGTCCCCCCGGGATCCCCCGGGACGTGGGGGTGGCAGAGCTGCTGCAGCGCCTCAGCCTGGTGTCCGAGGAGGAGCTGCTGTTCCTGCAGCTGCCTGACACCCTGCCTGGGCAGCCCCCCAGCCACGACACCAAGCCCTGCAAGGCTGAGCTGCACAGCGAGGATGGGCAGGTGCTGCTGCTCAAGCAGGAGAAGAGCCAGGTAGGGCTTGGGGAGGGAGGTGGGATGAGGGTGATGTCCCCTCATCCTGTGGTGTGATCCTTCCCATCCCATCTCCCCCATTCCCATGAGGATATCCTCCCATCCCTTGGTGGTGTCTGCCAATCCTACGATGTCATTATCTTCCTCCATCCCGTGGTGTCGTTCCCCCACATCCCATGGTATCATCTCCCCCAGTCCCGTGGTGATGTCCCCTCATTATCCCCTCCGTCCTGTGATGTCACCTCCCACATCCCATGGTGTCACCTCCCACATCCCGTGGTGACTTCCCTCCTATCCCGTGGTGTGATTCCCTCCCATCCCATGGTGTCATCTCCCTCACTCTCATGGTGACTTCCTCCCCATCCCACGGTGCTGTCCCACCTATCCCTGCTGTCCCTGATCCCGTGTGTCCCTGCAGGAGGCAAAGCAGGCAGAGAACACCTGCACCCTGGCTGACCTCCCTGAGGGGCAGGTGGGGAAACTGCTCATCCGCAAGTCAGGGAAGGTGCAGCTGGTGCTGGGCAAGGTGACCCTGGATGTGACCATGGGGACCCCTTGCTCCTTCTTACAGGTATGGGGGGACCCTGAGATAATCCCCTTGGGAGTCCCTGCTGGGGTTGTGCTGGCTCTTGGCTGCCCATCCCTGTGCCAGCAGTGGGGAAGGATCCTATTTGTCACCTCTGGGAACACCCCCAGGCTCATCCCCCTCAGCAGGGACCCCCCACACCCTTGTCCCACCTGCACTGAAGGGATTCCCATAGGATTGGGGTGTTCAGGGGTGCTTATCCCTCCTGGAACAGGAGCTGGTGTCTGTCGGTATCGGGGACAACCGCACGGGCGAGATGATCGTCCTGGGCCACGTGAGGCACAAGCTGGTCTGCTCCCCGGATTTTGAGGCTCTCCTGGAGCACAGGCACCGGTAGCCCAGGGGGTCCTGGACCCCCAGCCCCCAGGGATGGTCCCTGCACAGCTGGGGGACCTTCAGCCCCTTCAGATGTGCCTTGGGGGTGTGGGGAGAGGCCCCGTGCAGGTGTGGGCACAGGGCCAGCTCCCACCTCCTTCCAGCCCTGCCGTGGGGCAGCACTGGGATGGGGGTTCTGGCTGTGTCCCCCATCTGCTGCTTCCCCCCCAAGCCAAAAGGGCAGGGATGTGTGGATTTCTGGATGTGTGGGACCGTGGTGTGTCTCCTGGCTCTCCAGCAGCCGTGGACACGCTGGTGGGAGCAGGACACGTGTCTGGGGGGAAGAACATGGAATAAAACCTCTTTTCCCCCTGTGTGAGGCTGCTCTGACTCATCCTGTCACCCCGATGTCCTCCCACAGAGCCACCTGCCCCACCTGGGGGGGGGCTGAGCCCTCTGAGGGCTTTGTATCCTAACCCCATCTTAACCCTCTGTTCCCATCCCATCTAGGATCCCCTGCTTTCATTCCATCCCAACCCTCATTCTCTAAACTGCTCCTAGTTCTGCCTCATCCCATCTTACCCCCATCTCCACACCATTTCCACCCCATTCTATATTACCCCCCTGTTCCTGCCCCATCTCACCTGTCTTCCCACCCCATCCCATTTTACCCACCAATGCCATATCACCCCCCCGTTCCCACCCCATCCCATCCTACCTCCACCTCCCCATCCCATCTCATTCCCCTCTATCCCATCTTACCCTCCCTGTCCCTACCCCATCCCATCCTAAGCCTCTCTGCTCCCATCCCATTTCATCTTCCTCCCCTACCTCCCCATCCCATGTCCTGGAGTTGGGTGAATCCTTGGATGGATTGGGGGCAAGTCCTGGAGTTGGGGGGTGAATCCTTGGATGGATTGGGGGTGTGTTCTGGAGTTGGGGGTGAATCCTTGGATGGATTGGGGGTGTGTCCTGGAGTTGGGGGTGAATCCTTGCATGGATTGGGAGTGTGTTCTGGAGTTGGGGTGTGAATCCTTGGATGGATTGGAGGCGTGTTCCCAGTGGATTGGGAGCGTGTCCTAGAGTTGGGGGGCGAATCCTCAGACGGATTGGGGGCGTTGCTGGAGGTTGGAGGAGTGTCCTGGAGTTTGGGGTCGTGTTCTGGAGTTGGGGGACGAATCCTGGGATGGATTTGAGGCGTGTCCTGAAGTCGGGGACGAATCCCGGGCTGGACTGGGGGTGTGCCCCGCTTTGGGGCC